GGAAAGGGGAATTACCCCCGGGGGGGGGGGCCTTAATGGGAAAACCCCCCCTTTCCAAAGGGGGGGGTGGGGGCCCAAAACCCCCCCGGGGTGGACAAACCCCAAAGGCGGTTGGCCCCCCTTTTGGGAAAAATTTTTTTATAAAAAAAAAGGGGGTGTTTTCCCCCAAAACCCGGGGCGGGGGAGAGGGGGTTAAAAAAAAGGGGGGGAGAAGGGGAAACCCCCCCTTCCCCCCCCCCCCCCCCCCCCCCCACCCGGGGACCCCGTGCTTACTTACCTCAGAAGCAGGGTCTTCGGACCCCAGTTAATCCCGCCGTCTTCGACGGACGCCTTGCTGAGACATGCAAACCCAACGGGGGCGACGTACTTTTGGGCGCCACCGTCGTCGTTGCCCTCCCGGCCCTCGTCTCTGGCCGCCGCCGCCGCCGCCGCCGCCGCCGGCCCCATTTCTCCCGGCAGCCGTTGCTGCTGCGGCTGCTCCTGGTCGAGTTTCCTGACCTTCCGCCTTCCCGCTTCGTCTTCTAGGCCACCACCACCCTGCTCGACAGCCGCCGCCGCCCCCACCTCGTCCCCTGCTCCACTTCGGCTGCCGAAAAAGGCGGCGGTGTCGTCGACAGCCACGGCATCAGACAGCGGCGGTTGCGGTAGCGGTAGCGGCTGCGGCTGCGCCCCTGCCTGCCCGCTCGCAAGAACCAGGGTGGGCACCGGAGGCGACGGCGGCTCCAAGAGCTCGAACATGTACGTCTGCCGCAGCACGAGCCACCGCCGCCTCCACGGCCCCGCGCCCACCCCGGCTGGGGCGAGGTCGGAAGCGGGCGCCGTTCTGATGGACACCTCCCCCAGCGAGAGCGGCTCGAACGGGCTTGGAGGGTTTGCCGCCGCCGCCTCCGCAGCCTCCGCCTCTCGATCAACCACCGCCGCCCCCCATGGGGAGGTCTCCTCGTCTGGTCCATCCCGTTTGCCGTCCCTCCCCTGGGGTAGTGGTACCCCGCTCGCTCGACCTCGTGCTTCCCTGGCTCCCTCCCCCGCCGCCACCGGCGGCATCGCCGGGGCACCGTCGGAACGGCACCGGTTCCGCCGCGTGCCGCCTTGCCGGCGGCGCCGGGTGGTGGTGTTCGCGGCCTCGTAGAGGCACCGCGGGAAGGCGTGCACGACGGCCGGGTAGGTCCAGTGCAAGCGGTCCGGGGTCCAGTCGTCCCAGTTCATCAAAGGCATCATGACCTGTGTCGGTTGAGTTGTTGTACACGGAGGCGTGTTCGACGTCAGAGGAGAATGCCGTGTCCCGCAGCCACGGTAGTAAAGGAGGCGACATCAGACTACAGCTGTCGTGGTGGTGATTCAGCGTTCCGCGTACCGTAGTGATCCCTGCATGAGGCCGCATGGAGTCAAGAGATCTGACAGGCCTGATACCGGGCACCCGGCGATATTCAGCGTGGAAGACAGCTTGGGTAATCCGTGCCAAGCAATTTCAACGACCTCACTACAGGGCCCGGCTATATCTACGCTGCCTTTTACGGCACCGCTACTTTTGCCGTGGTCTACTCCACACCCTTAGAGCGAGAGAAGGAATGAACTGTATCGAAAACATAAATAAATAAAATAAAATAAAAACATACGAGAACACATTTCAACGAAACAAAAAAAATTCACCGAAAAAGCAAAAAAACAAAACATGAAACGGTGCACGGGCCGGAACCAAGTCTACACGCTTACAAACACGACGGAACACGCACAGCAGCTAAAACAGCTGGCAAGGTCCCGCATATTGAAACAAAAATCTTCAGCCATTCCGCGTCCAGTACCATGCATGCGCATTCTTGTGGCAGGATACGTTTTCCAAGACGCTGGAGGGAAATGCCTACGCAAAGAACGCGAGCTCATCACGAAAAAACACCAGGCAGGGGTACGCCGACCCTAGTACCCGAACGTATCCGGTCCTGCTCTGTATCCAAAAATGCTTGCTTACATAGAAACCTGCGTAGACTGCTGCGCCGGAGTCTCACTCACCGCCTGCCCGCGATCTTGCTCGTGCGCCAGCTTGTCCAGCAGCGCCGACGTCGACCTCGCGCCGATGCCCCCACCCCCCATGCCGCCCTTGCTGCTGTCTGTGGGCATCGGTCTAAGGTTGCTTCTGCTGGTAGCCCCCCACTCACCCACCGCGTCTCCCCCCGCGGGCGGTTGCCTCGGCATCGTCTCCGATCCCCGAGCCTTCCGTTGCTTCTCCCCCTGCTGCTCGCCCTCGTGCTGGCGTTGCTGGGCACCGCCAACGCTGCTGCTGCGGCCCCTGCTTCCGCCATCACGGCGCGAAGCGTCGCCGCTGATTTCGACAGGCGGGGCTGCTGCACCGGTCGCGGATCTAGCTTGTCCGGCCGGTGGCACACGGGCGGGCACAGTCGGCTCTTCTGCCGCTGCCGCTCGGCCAGCGGCGGCGGCGGCGGCAGTCACGACTTCCCGCTTTCGCGGCGGGCTACTCAAGTGGCGGCACCGATTCGGACGCCTCCG